TTAGGAAAGGATCTAATTGTTTACTTGCTTGGGTCACTGAACCATGGATTATGTGGTAGCCTATACTAAATCAAGTTGAAGTACCAGAACTGTCTTGGTATACTGTAGAAGAAGGTATTCAAAGGCTTAGGAAAACTGACATGTTAGAGCGATTTACCAGGTTAGACCCTCAGACCCTCACATGAGGTGCCCAGAAGATACAACTTTTGCCACAACGGTGAGGAACAATTTATGAAGGGAGCCCTAGCGTCCTTGAAGACTGCTGTGATTGCTATTTTATGTAAGTCAGATTTGACAGTGTGAACTACCCTAACTGAATTAAGACATCTAACTACAATGGGGCTGGTTGGACCCCAGGGTGGTAGGCGCCAAGTGGCAGCACTCAACTGACAAAGACAAGTTGCGCATGGTTATTGTAATGTATCGTGGAATCAAAAGCAGTACTCAGAACGGTCTGACTCATATAGACTTACGGCATTGGCTACTTAGACATGGCGTCCCTAGGAGTGAAAGACATGGGAATTCCACTAAATATTTATTTTATCTGTACAAGCGGAACAATTCTAGGTCAAGTGAATGGCAGTCTAACTTAAATCACCAGAATAGAGAGTCATGGACCCTCAATCAATTCCAGACTTGAGCCAGTTTATAGACCTACAGTGCCTTGAATAAAGGGGAGGTCAGGTCCCCTTCAGGAAGGACTCCAATATACTGCCAAAAATTTATGCTGTTAATCTTTCTCCTAGCCTTCCCCAAAGGGATCTACGGCCCTTTATGAGAGTGACTGTTAATGGAAGAAAAGGAAATAATCAGACTTTTCAGGGATTACTGGATACTGGCTCTGAACTGACACTAATTCCAGGAAACCCAAAACATTACCGTGGCCCACCAGTCAGAGTAGGGGCATATGGAGATCAGATTATTAATGGAGTTTTAGCTCCAGTTTGTCTCACAGTGCTCCAGTGGGTCCCCAAACCCATCCTGTAGTGATCTCCCCAGTTGCAGAATGATTAATTGGAACAGACATACTCAGCAACTGGCAGAACTCCATCGGATCCCTGACAAGTGGAGTTAGGGCTATTATGGTAGGAAAAGTCAAGTGGAAGCCATTAGAACTGCCTCTGCCTAGGAAAATAGTAAACCAAACACAATACCACATTCCTGGAGGGATTATAGAGATTACTGTCACCATAAGGGCTTGGAGGATGCAGGGGTGGTGATTTCTACAACATTTCCATTCAACTCACTTATTTGGCCTGTGCAAAAAACAGACGGATCTTGGAGAATGACAGTGGGTTATTGTGAACTTAACCAGGTGGTGACTCCAATTGCAGCTACTGTTCCAGATGTGGTTTCATTGCTTGAACTAATTAATACATCTCCTGGTATCTGGTATGCAGCTTATTGATCTGGCCATTGCATTTTTCTCAATTCCTGTTTTGAAGGAACACCAGAAGCAGTTTGCCTTCAGCTGGCAAGGCCAGCAATACACCTTCAGTGTCCTACCTTACACATATATCAACTCTCCAGCCCTCTGTCATAATTTAGTCTGCAGGAACCTTGATCACCTTTCCCTTCCACAAGATGTCACACTGGTCCATTACATTGATGACCTTATGCTGACTGGACCTAGTTAAGGAAGAAGTGTCAATAACTTTGGACTTATTGGTAAAACATTTACATGCTAGAGGGTGGAAAATTAATCCAACAAAAACTCAGGCGCCTTCCACCTCAGTGAAATTTCTAGGAGTCTGGTGGTGTGGAGCATGTCAAGCTATTCCTTCTAAAGTGAAGGACAAGTTGTTACATCTGGCCCCTACTACAATTAAAAAGGAGGCAAGGAGCCACAATCGGCTGAGGTGCTTGCTGAGGGCAAAGGGAATACAGAATGGGTGGTGGAAGATGGTAGTTCTAAATACCAGTTATGACCACGTGACCAGTTGCAGAAATGAGGACTGTAATTGTTATGATTATTCCTTCCTTGTACGTGTGCATCAAATATTTTTGTTTTCTTCACTTATAAAATATAAGATGTAAATGGGCTTAGTGCATTTTTGGTTGTATGCATGTTAGTTGTATCATGTTAGGCGCAAGTATGACTTTGTAATGGTCTTTATTTAGAGATTGTGTGTGTTTAAAGAGATGTTAAGCCATACACAATGCCAACAGGTGCCAAGTTGACAAGGGGTGGACTGTGATGGTTGTGTGTCAACTTGTCTGGGCCATGATTCTCAGTGGTTTGGCAGTTACGCAATGATATAATTTGGCAGTTATGTAATAATGTAGCTATCCTCCCTTTTGTGATATAATGTAATCACCTCCTTGACATGATCTGATGTGATCAGCCCATCAGTTGTAAGGGCAGTTTCATCAGGACCGTGGCCTGCATTCAATATATATGGATGTTCTGGCAAAGCTCACCGGCTTTTGCTTGCTCTGGATCCTGTATCTGGCTCATCATCATGTGATCTCTGGTTCTTGGGACCTGAGCCAGTGGCCTGCTGTTTTACTTGCTGATGTTGGATTCATCAGCCTCCACAGCTTGTGAACCAGCAGTCTGCCATCTGACCTGCTGATCTTGGGTTCGTCAGCCCTTGCAGCTATCTGAGTCAGGAGAAGCCTGAGTCTGATGCCTGCAGCTGAGTCAGGAGAAGCCTGAGCCTGATGCCTGACTGATGGACTTGGGACTTGCCAGCCTCTACAACCTGAGTCATTTCTTTGAGATAAATCTCTCTCTACACACACACACACACACACACACATATATATACATATATATACACACGCACACACACACGTATGTGTACATATATATGTGTGTATGTGTATACATATATATGCATCACTGGATTTGCTTCTCTAGAAAACCCAGCCTAAGACACCACTCAAGAGCCATTCCCTGGAGCTGGAAACACTGCTGGTCCCCAAAACATGACTGTAGGAAGAGGGATACCTGAACAAATCAGGGTTCTGTACAAAAGCGGGGATTTGGAAACCCTGTGTTGGGATAGGGAATATGAAATGAGAATCTCACCTTCTGTACAAGAGAGAATTAAACTGAACCAGTTGAGAATTTCCCTGGGCCAGTGGTTCTCAAAATATGGTACTTGGGATCAGCAGCATCAGTATCACCTAGGAACATTTTAGAAATGAAAATCCTCAACTCCCACCCTAGACCTCTTGAATCAAACTCCAGGGGAGGCACCCAGAAATCAGTGTGCTAACAAGCCTCCCAGGTGATTCTGATGCACCCTAAAGTTTGAGAACCACTGCCCTATTCCAATGATTCTCAATCAAAGGCAGTTCTGCATTGTATTTGGCAATGTCTGGAGACATTTCTGGCTGTCACAACTGGGGGTGGGTGCTACTGGTAGAGGGTAGAGGTCAGTACAATGCACAGGACAGCCCCCTAGAACAAAGAATTAGCCAACCTCACATGTCAATAGTGCCAAGGTTGAGAAACCCTGTGCTATGCTATAAGGCAGAGTAAGCACGTTACAGGGGCTGCTGCCCACCTGGCTCTCCATATTAGATTCAGGTCTTTGAGCCTAGTTAGCACAAGGATTAGCATCTCTTAAGCATCCTCACTTGGGAGCACTGGTGGTTCAGTGGTAGAATTCTTGCCATCCATGTGGGAGTCCTGGGTTTGATTCCCAGCCAATATACCTCATGCAGAGTTATCAGCTGTTTGTCAGTGGAGTTTTGCAAGCTGCTATGATGCTGAATAGGCTTCAGCTGAGCTTCCAGACTAAGACAGACTAGGAAGAAAGGCTGGTGATCTACTTCTAAAAATCAGCCAAAGAAAACCCTATGAATCATAATGGAACACTGTCCCATCCCCAACTGATTACAGGGATGGCACAAGACCAGGCAGATTTTTGTTCCGCTGTGCATGGGTGCCATGAGTCGGGGGCCTACTCGATGGCAGCTAACAGCAAGCACTGTCACAGCAGCAGAGAGCTGAAATTCCCTTTGCCCACAGTCTGACCTACCCTCCTTCTAAGCAACAATTCTTTGGGCCTTCGAAGCTGTCAGCTCAGTCCCAGGGTTTCATTAGGTATCCTTCCATGGAAAAGCAATAAAACACGGCACAGAGTTTAACTTTAGGACCAAAATTGACATACTTTGTAAGAGGAACAGTTAATATATGCATTGATGTTTTACAACTGGCTTTTATGGGGGACCAATTCCTCTATTGCAGAAGGTCAACAGGCTGTTTTGATCAAGCAAACATTTTCTATTCTTAAGGATCTTCCTGTTCAACTGAGACAAGCGAGTCCCCACTGTCTTCCGCTGCCACATCTACTCTCTATCAGAAGCCTGAGGGTCAGGATATTGAGAAGTAGGCTCAAACAGCCAGTTCCAATCTACATTTCCTATACAAGATGTGGGCAAGACATCTTGCATTGCTTGCGAATAGAATTTCTCCCTGTTACAGGCTGAATTGTGTTCCCCAAAATATGTATTGTAAATCCTAACCCCTGTACATGTGAATGTAATTCTCTCTGGGAATAGGGATTTCTTTGTTATGTTAATGAGGCTATATCAGTGTAGGGTGTGTCTTTAAACAATCACTTTTGAGATATAAAAGGAGCAGTTTAGGTACAGAAGCAAGCAAGGACAAACTGGGGATGACTGATGCCACGTGGAGATCACCAAGGAACAGAAACTGAAAACAGACAAGGACCTTGCCCCAGAGCCAACAGACAGAGAAAGCCGTCCCCTAGAGCCAGTGCCCTGAGTTCAAACTTCTAGCCTCCTGAGAAAATAACTTTTTGTTTGTTAAAGCCATTCACTTGTGATAGTCCGTTACAGCAGCACTAAGAAACTAAGACTCTCACCGTTAGAATTTCATGTTAGAGGGAAGCAGCAAATCATAGTAGCTAAAGCCACAATCAGTTCAGGTCAGGCCTATCTCCTATTAGACCTACTCTCAAATATCTATCCTATGTGCAGTTTGTTCTACCGTGATAATTACATGAGCTTTCTGGCACGTATTTAATATACCACACTGTCAGGAACAGATGTGCTGGTCAAGTTTATTCACATTACTTTTGATCATGTCAATCACACTTTAGTCCCTGGAAGTTTGTATTTACAAACAGAATCCAGTACATTTCTAGGAGAATACATTCCTGGGAGAATACTTTTTTTTTTTTCTCTCTCTGCAAAACCAAAAATAGAAATAGAATAATAGGATATTGCGTAGCTGAATGAACACCTTGCTTCACTCTGGGGTCTTCTCTGGGATTTCAGAGTGAACTGTATCCAGAGGTTGCCAGTGGCAATTCATGAGGGAGTCGTAGAATTCTTCACTTTTCACCATAAACTCCTTGTTTAAGGTCTCAATATTGAAGTGAAGATGTGGATCTGCAGAAGTCAATAACGCATATGAAAAAAATAGAGTTTTACTGGTTTAAAATTTGTTGTTGTTTTTTTAACATTAGCAGGAAGTATTGCAGACATTAAATGTTAAAGTGTTTTAAATGGTGTGTTTCCCCCCAATTAGACTTGAAATTTGAAATTGAAGTTTAAAAAGAGGACTACTAGACTTAAGAAAATAACCTCTAGATGGTAGAGGAGATGGAAATAAAGAGACAGAGGCAAGAGACGTTTCGGAGATGAAATGGACACAGCGTGGAGACAGACTCAGTAAGTGGAGAAAGAGAGGGAGGGTCAAGGATGAGTCCTGGTTTCTGGCATACGCACCTGGGTGGATTCGGTGCCCAACACTGAGCCAGGACCAGGCCAGGCTTTGAAAAAATAAACATGCTGCTTTACCTGATTAGTTAACAAATTGATGTAAGCGAATAAATTATATGTAGCAAGTAATTCAGAAACAGAGGAGGTCCCGGCCCGCCTTCTCTGAAACCTGGGACTCTGTAATGAAGAGGTAGCATTATGCTAACATGAAGGCATTAGACCTAGACTTTCATTCCGAGGTTGCCACATTTCCAAAGGTTTCCAAGTTTGTCAAGGTCAGTGACTTTTAAAATGCAATCTATCTTTTTCTCTCCTTCTACCAAAGGTCAGTGAAAAAGCCCTGTTTCCGTTGTAATTTTTGTAAGCCTTACCTCATTCCAGACTGTCATTTATTTCCTAATAATCACATAAGCCAGCTGCTACAGAGTCGACCCTGACTCCTGGTGACCCCATTTATGTCAGAGCAGAACTGTGCTCCATAGGGTTTTCAGTGGCTTATTATTTGGAAGTAGATCGCCAGGACTTTCTTCCAAGGTGTTCCTAGATGAATTCAAACCTCCAAACTTTTGGTTAGTAGCCAAGCACATTAGCTATTTGAACCACTCAGCTTTATCTATTCATTTGTACCTGTACGCCTGTCTGTTTTCTATTGTTTTAGAACTGAGATCATCAAAAAGTCCCTGGACATCACATAAGTTTCATGAACTATTTCCCACTTTTCTTCATTGGAGGCATTTGTGACTGTATTGTCTGATTCTTGTGCTTTACAGCATCCCACCCATCTTAAGAGTTCTTCCTTTCAGAGCTTCTGGTCATGAAATTGGATGCTGCTATTTTTTTCCTGGAGCCCTGGTGGTGTAGTGGTTAAAGAGCTTGGCTGCTAACCAAAAAAGTCCACCAGCCGCTCCTTGGAAACCCTATGGGGCAGTTCTACTCTGTCCTACAGGGTCGCTATGAGTCGGAATCGACTCGACAGCAACGGGTTACGGGTTATTTTTTTCCTGAACTTTGTCAAGTTTTCTTTCCTGAAGTCACGCCCCAGTATCCTTCACTGTTACAGGTATGCATTTGTTAAAGAGCCCCTGACACTGACCGTTCCTGGCCGGTGAGCAGCGCCAGGCCATGTGCTCATGAACACCCTCTTTCCTCTAACTTGTGGCCTGGAAAACAGTCACATTCTGGTGAGCTATGTAGCTCAGATTATATGATCAAGGCCCTTCCAGTGACATTGGCCATGAGCTGTAATAAACCAAAAAACCAAACCAAACTCATTGCCGTAGAGTCAATTCCAACTCACAGTGACCCTACAGGACAGAGTGAACTGTCCTATAGAGTTTCCAAGGCTGTAAGTCTTTACGGAAGCAGACTGCAGCATCTTTCTCCTGTGGAGCAGCTGGTGGGTTGGGACTGCCAACCTTTCAGTTAGCAGCAGAGTGCTTTAACCACTGCACCACCAGGACTCCTTGAGCTGTAATAGATGCCTATAAAACACAAACTAATTGCATTTTCCCTAAACCTGTGGGCACTTCTACACCCATGCTGTCAAATATAGTAGGAACTAGCCACACATGGCTACTGGGCATTTGAAATGTGGCCGGTCCACACTGGATTTCAAAAACTTGGTATGTAAAAAAAAGAATGCAAAAATCTCATTGATAATTTTTTAATACTGATTACATGTTGAAATGACAATATTTTGGATATATTAGGTTAAATAAAATATATTATTAAAATTAATTTCACCTGTTTCTTTTTTTTTAATTTGACTACTAGAAAATTTAAGATGACCTATGTGGATGGATTTGGGGCTCTACTACATTTCTACTGGACAGGGCTGCTTGCGATGCATGATTAGCTAACACAGGAATGGCTATTACGTGTCAGATGCCATTAAAACATGAAGAGCACTTTAAATATATCATCCTCACACTTCCTATGACGTAGGTTCTATCATCATCTCCATTTTACAGATGGGAAAACTGACACACTGGGAGATGAAGCGATTTGTATGGAAACACAGAGCTCGTAAGTGGGATTTGAACCCTGGCAGTCTGTCCAGAAGCACATTCTGGCTGTATAGTTTCCTCTGTTATTTTTATAGACTGTCTGCATAACGGATGGAGGCAGGAAGGCCGCACTCATACTTTAACCAGAAGGGAATCCCCCTGAGAATTGGAATACCAGTTGCATTCGAGTCAGAACTCATTCATGGCAACTCCATATGTGTCAGAGTAGAACTGCGCTCTGTAGGATTTTCAATGGCTGATTTTTCAGAAGTAGATTGCCAGGCCTTTCTTTCGAGATGCCTCTGGATAGACTCAAACCTCCAACCTTTCAATTAGCAGCTGAGCTTGTTAACTGTTTGCACCATGCAGGGACTTCAAGAGCTGGAATAAGCCCCCTTTATTCATATTTATATCGAAGTACTAAAACTACAACTGCCTGACAGCATTTAAAGAAGTTGTCTTTTAAACATCAATTTAATTTCCTTTCATTTAATAATGAGCACTGACTAATATGCCAGACTTTGTATTCGTCACTGTGGCTACAAAAATGAATACTGCTCCCTTCCTCAGTAAAATCACAAACACAGTGGGTGGATTTGTATGGGGCAGGAGGTGGGGGTGGGGGAAAAGACAGACAGACAGACAGTGTGATGACAAATAGGCATAGATGTTCTCCACATTCCTCCTCTATTTCTCTTTCTCATAACTTAAACATTAAAAAAATAAATACAGGAAAACAAAACATTTTCTTCTCTTCCTTAATAAGGCATATTCCAAAAGAAGCAGACAACTTGGTTCTTTTCAAAACAGATCAAGGACCACAGGCAGAGCTGTGGGCCTAACACTATGAGAGGGCCTGTCAGGTCCCCTAGGAGCCAATCACCCTGGGGGAAGCTGGAAGCCAAGACCACTGCAAGTGTCCTTTCCCCTTTAAAAAACAAAATCAGGGGCAGGGCCAAGATGGCGGAGTAGTCAGATGCTTCCAGTGGACCCTCTTACAACAAAGACCCGAAAAAACAAGTGATTCAATTATATACAGCAATCTGGGAGCCCTGAAAATCAAAGGCAGAGTTGAGGAATCGGACTGAGTGGCAAGGTGAAGGAGAGATGGTTTGGAAGCAGCGAGGAGTTGCCAGACCTGTGAGCCTGAGTCCTTCAAGCCTGATCAGCTCAAGGGTGAGCGGTGAGGCAGGCAAGTGGGGCATGTTTTCCACACCAGGAGAGACCCAGCAGCTGAGAGTCTACATGGCCACCCAGAACCAGTGAGAAGCAGCCCTCCACAAAAGACAAGTACTTGTGTACAGCTTATTCTGCATGGATCAAAAACACCCCTCTTAGGGAAAAACCTCTCTCCCATTTACCTCCCTGCTCTCTGCTCTGCACTGGGTGCCAGACAGGCTTCAGCAACTGCCAAGTCCCCTGGGCTGGAAGTAGGATACGTCACATGCCCAGAGCCATTCTCCCTGCCTTGGAGAGTGAACAAATTAACAAACAGGGGAAAAAATAAACTGCCAGCTCCCATAAGTCAGGAACCAGGGTAGGCACAGCTCCTTTGCCTAGGCACAGGCATAATGGATCCACAGACTTTAAGTACCTCTCCCCCTGCATAGACATGTGTGGGCCCATCTCAACAGTGTAGGCCCTCATTACTGCAGTACAACAGGGTACATACCAGAACTCTAACTTCAACTGTTTCAGCTGTCAAGTGGCAGGTTCCTGACATTTGACACTGCTCTGCCCATTAAACAGAGTCTTCACCTACCCACATCAGGGGCCTGAAGACTGGTGGCTCCACCCATGCCACCTAGCCACCTGCGATAGGGGCCCATGAATAAGAGGTGCCCCTCAGTCCTTATAGCCAACAGCATTGGGTGCTCATAGTCTGGCTGCAAAACCCAGCCACCTATGCACTCTAGGGAACAGGGACACGCCTTCCTCCTGGACACTCAGGGGTGGCCGTCAGCCCCCTGCCTTGCTCAGAGTGTGTCCCCCTGCTACAGCCAGAAGCCTGTGCCTACACTAATCACCCATGCCTGTCTAGGACTGTAACTGAGAGCCTACACCACACGCTTGGTGGCTATCTACCTGGGCACCTGAGCTGAATCCATACAGGAGGAGTGGGTGGACTCCTGAGCTCACATACCTAGTAACAGATCTAACCACCAGGTGACAGGACATTAGAGCTTCAAAGGTGCCAATAATCAAACTAGCTCATACGTGCAGCCTATTTGGGCATGTCAAAACAAAACAAGAAGCTAGGACACAGTAAGCAAGCATAAAATAAATAAATACAGTAACTTATTGATGGCCCGGAGACAACAGTCAATATCAAATCACATAAAGAGGTAATCCATGATGGCTTCAGCAAGCTCCCAAAATAAAGAATCTAGAAATTTTCCAGAGGGGGAGAATTTCTTGGAATTACCAGAATACAAAAGATTAATATACAGAGCTCTTCAAGAAATTAGGAAGGAAATTAAGCAAATCGCAGAACACACAATAGAGGAAATTAAAAAGATTAGAGAAAAGCATAATGACAAATTTAACAGGCTGCAAGAATCCATAAAGAGACAACAATCAGAAATCCAGAAGATTAACAATAAAATGTCAGAATTAGACAACTCAATAGGAAGTCATAGGAGCAGAATCAAGGCAATGGAA